GCAACTTTTTGTAAGGAATCAACAGCTGCAGGGTTGAGAGCGCGAGGGGAACATAAGTCTGTGCTCCCCTTAAGCAGGTCGAATAAAGGACTTAAATCTGCATTGGAAATTCCTAGCAAAGGTCGGACCCAATTAATTGTTCCCAACAACTTCTGCACATCATGCAAAGTCCTCACATCTGCTTGAATTAGTAAAGGCTGTGGGACTATAGTTTGAGCCCGTATGCGCCAGCCTAGATATTTCCATGGTGGTATTTTCTGAACCTTTTCCGGCGCAACACAAAGACCTGCTGAATTAACAGCAGTTATGACAAGGGCTACAGCTTCCTCCATGACTTCGTGATGTTGTGCTGCCACTAGAATATCATCCATATAATGGTACAATAAAACGCAGGGCATCTTTGTTCTAACAGGGCTAAGGACCTTGGCTACATACCATTGGCATATTGTGGGACTGTTTTTCATTCCTTGTGGTAGCACAACCCACTGATATCTCTGCAATGGAGCTTGCATGTTGACGCTTGGAACTGAAAAAGCAAATTTAGGAGAATCTTCTGGATGCAAGAGGATATTAAAAAAGCAGTCCTTGAGGTCAATGACTGTCAGAGACCAGTCCCGGGGGATCATTGTGGGAGAAGGGAGCCCTGGTTGCAGGGCTCCCATGTCTTCCATAGCGTCATTAATTTTTCTGAGGTCATGGAGCAGGCGCCACTTGCCAGTTTGTTTTTTAATCACAAAAACAGGTGAATTCCAGGGGCTTACAGAGGGCACAACATGTCTTTTGGATAACTGTTCATCAACTAATTCTTCCAGGGCGCGAAGCTTTTCCATCGGCAGGGGCCATTGATCCACCCAGACAGGGGTATTAGTTTTCCAGGTTAATTTCAGGGTGTCGCGCACCTCAATGGCCCCTCCTAAAAATGCGTTTGAATAGCCATTCCCCATTGTGACAGTACATCACGTCCCCATAAGATCATAGGCACAGGTAGCACAAAGGGCTTAACAGAGGCTACATGCCCCTCCTAAAAATGCGTTTGGAGTCCCCTCCCCCATTGCGACTCCCATAGCGAATACTGTGTGGGGGTTAACAGCAACTGTGCGAGAGATTTGAGATCATGCGGAGTCATGACATAAGAATCTAAGACAGAAGATAACAAACTCGCGAAATATGGGGAAGAGAGGCCATGCTCGGTAACAGTACGGCGCAACTCCTTCACCACAGGGAAGGATAATGCCTCCCATTGAGCCCCCCTCCCCTGATAGATAACAGGAGCGACTATTTTTTTCGCAAGTTGCAAGTCCCCCTCTTTCAGAGCTTGTCGTTTAATATTTGCCCATACGTCCTGGGGATCGGGAGGGTGGAGATCTGGCTCCTCCTCTGGGTCCACTGGTCCTGGATCAAAAGGATCATCCTCTGGGGGGTACTTGGCGGCACCCACCTCAAGAGGCTCCGAGGTCTTCTTATCGACCGGGAGACCTTTCCTGTCTTTAGTATCTTTATTCTTAACGGTCTCCTGAGCCTTCAGAGTTTCAAAGATAGTCTTCCACCACGGGAGCATGCGCTGTGCTTCAGCATTCCCTGTTGTAGCCGCGTCCCACAGCTTAATCCCCACGTCATCCCAAAGCTCAGTCGTAAATATACTGGAAGCAGTTACAGTGGGGATTTTCACTTGTACCCACTTGAGCATAACCTTAAGATCTTGCCCAGAGAGATTCTTTTCATATTTTTCAAGAAGGGCTTTCATAAGTTCGTACACGTCCCTCTCTGGGGAAGACACCTGACTTCCCATGTCTCCCACAGCTCACCTCACAATTCCGGAGGGATTCTTAATGCCGGCTCCTGCTTCCTTTCAGCAGCTCATTCAAAGTTCTGTGGGACTCGCAGCATGCCACGCAGATAGGTGGTTCTTAATCCCGAATCACGTCGGGGTCACCAATTTGCCGCGATTGAGAGACGGAGACCCAGCTCGATGCAAGTCAGGATCCACTTTATTGAACACAACAACCGATTTTATATTCCAAACAGACAAAGAGAGACACGTGTTTTAAGCTGATTGGCACAATGGTTAATCACCTAATACATATTACAAAAATTGAGCTCATGATTGGCTAACGTCTAAGGTCAGCTTGACTTTTTCTGCAGTTAATTTTCTGCTAGCTCACAGCATTCTTCTCCTTAACGACTTCTACTCCTGTTTCTATAGCACGTGCTTATCTCTAGTTACGAAACCAGCCCTCCTGGAAGAAATCGTCCTTAGCCCCAGGGGTGTAACAGTTTGCTTACAGAGTATGCAAATTACGAGACGCCAAGTTGAGCACGTCCTTGCTGCTAGAAGGAGAGACCAGGCTGCCCCCGACACTAGTGATAGTGTCACTGCCTTCCCCTGATGTTAATTTATAAATCTGAGTTGCCTGAGGTTGATAGGAGATCTGTAGCTGCCCAGGGAGTTAAATTCAAGTATTCTAAGTCCTTAATTATAGGACTGTGTTTATTTATAAGGAATCCCACTGACTCATCTAGGATGCTGTAGAGGTCTCTGGGTATACACAAATAACAGTATCATGCTTTACATTTGCTAAAAAAAAAATCCTTTGGGGCAAGTATGAGGTCTTGAAAATGTCAGGATAAACAATGAAAACTGAAAAAACTAAGTACTTTTTCAGCTACACACTTAAGAAATTGAATACTCTAGTGGTTCTATCTAAAGCTATTATTATACAATCCAGATAAAATTGTGTGAGAGAATACATTTGTTAACACACCTTTAGAGGTAGATATTGAATAGAAAAAGGTACACAGACTAAATCTTTTGAGTTTCCATCTAGTTCCAGCGATCTCCAGCAGATACCACAGGACATAGGAAAAGTGTGAGTAGAAACGAGCAGCAGAGAGCAACTGATTTGTACTGACCATACATAGTTAGTTTATCTGCAATTCATTATGGGTATAGATTTCAAGTTATTGAATCATCAGAACTAAAATCTTCAGAAAACAAATGCTTGATTAATATTTTATGTTGCTATATTATATTCATGCTGTAAATCAGGGTGGAAGAAAGAGAGAATATGCATCTTTTGGGGAAATAATTATGTAAACTCCTACTTGCTTAAGCTTCTAAAAAGGGGCTATGTGCTTTATCTATATAAATTTCACTTCATACCATAATTTTGTAATCAGCAGAAGTTGATGTTTGAATCCATAGAGCTAATAGGTTGAGTTAAAAACATTAAACAATCCAGGCTGTGTTTTCCAGGGGTGGAATAGATCTGTGGGTTTTAGAATCTGCCTACAAAATTACATTGGTAATTTTGAAGGTAAAAAATGAGGGTGGGTGCAGAATCTCTCAACTTTGGCTTCACTTTGCCCTGCTTAAGTCTATCTTACAGGTTGCTCAAGGAGGCTGTGGAGTCTCCATCCTGGGAGATACTCAAAAGCCATATGGACATGTTCTTGGGCAATGGGCTTATGGTATCCCTACTTAAGCAGGTGGGGTGATCCAGCTGACTTCCAGAGGTTCCTTCCAACCTCAACCATTCTGATTCTGTTATCTTCTGCTTTCATCAGTGACTTCTCTGATTTCATGTTTTTTTCTAATATTATTCCAACACGCACTCAAATATATGATGACTTTAATGGTTGTCTTGCGTGTCAGAGCATGTATGCAACTTTAGGCCAGAGGAATGCATGGATAACTTTTCTGTCTTTGAGACGGAGTTGCCAAAATTATTTTTTGAAGGTCTGTTCTTACAATAATCTCACAGAAACACAGTTTTGCTGCAGAACTCTTGGAGGCAAAATACTAAAACCAAGCCACTTTGGAGTTTGTTTTTTCACTTTCTTTATTATTATTATTTTCTATAGTGCAGCAAGATAACTTTTATATGTGACAATTTTTGTAATAGTGGCAGGAGGCACTAGTTTCTATAAGGAGAATTCTGAATCCAATCCTGTAATTGTCATAATTTCTAAATCAATACCGATATTTTTGTAAATGATGAGGATTGTAATGTGAGATTTCCTTTGCAGTCTGGCAGAGAGGGAACAAGAATGATGACCTAGTATATTTGCTTAGTTTCATGAGGTGAGATTAGTGACAGCCTTTGTGAGATGGTTTTGAGATATGTTGTTGAAGCAGTGTGGGAAGCTGACACAGACACTGACAACTCTCATGTACAATAACTGTGGATATATACAAAAAAATTTGGTAGCTGAGGTTTTCCACCCAACCCATCTAGCCAGCTGTAAACTACCAAAGAAGAGACAAGAAAAGCTCCTTGCAGTTTGTATGTGTAAAGATGAAGACCCAGACTCAAGCCAGAGTCTTTTTCAGAATCAGTTGTGGTGGAGTAGGGAAGACAGGCAATGCACAGTAGCCTCAACCGCTTATTCAGGGAGGCAGGATTTCTGAGTAGACTTCTAAAGCTTTACTCTTAAGCAACAGCTCAAAGGAAAGGTGAGCGTCAGGAGTCAGGTTTCCCTCTGGATGAGTCTTCATCTGGGCCTCAGAGCGCTCGTCTGTATTAGCACAGGGTGTGCATTCCCCAAAATGGGTTTACAGCTGCAGCAGGGAAGCATTTTGGCTTTAGCTTCCTTTATCCTTTGTAATAATCCTTTCCAGCTCCCTACCACTGTCCACAGGTTTCAGCTTGTCTCTACTGTTGGCTCCTGCAGTGCTGCCCCTCATCCTGCTAGCTTTCATTGATCATTGCTGCCATTGACACTCCCGTGCCCTTTATAAAGTAGCTGTCAAAGCTCCTGTCCCTCTACAAGCTGCGTTAGGGACCCACTCCTATCTGAGACGTTCATTAGTGCTGTTTGCCAAAAGGTTTATGTAACAGATGTTGCAAAGCAGGCACGCAGAAACACACACACTCACACACCATTAGTTCAAGGGCTGTCGGGGTGACGATAAAGGGAGGATGGTCTGAGTGGCTCAAAGGCATAGCTGCATTTGTTAAAAACGCAACTAATGTCTCTGTGTGACCATGCTGTATTTTCAGCTTGTCATCATGGCTGGGACTGTTCTGCTCGCCTACTACTTCGAGTGCACAGATACTTTTCAGGTGCATATCCAAGGTTTCTTCTGTCAGGATGGCAATTTGATGAAACCATATCCTGGAACAGAGGATGAGAGCTTCATTTCACCTCTTGTGCTCTACTGTGTGCTGGCTTCAACTCCAACAGCTATTGTAAGTATAAGAAATTATTTGAATTCTCCACGACTTCTCCATAAATAATAGCAATAGTCCTGTAATTTCTTTGTCTGCTCTCCTCTCTTTTCAGCTGTAATTGATTTACACTTAGCCAGGTCTCTGTTTTGCCTTATGATCTTCATCAGTTATCTCCAGAAGTAATTATTCTGAGGTAATCACAATGCAGGATTGAGGGGTAGAGCTTGTTAAGCCTTCTACAATAGCTTGCTCACTTCAGTGATTAGTTGTGAATTGCCTGGGCTCCAGAGGGGCTCTAATGCAAAGGTGATGTATTAGTGGAAGTAAGAAAACAGGATAAAGCTGAAGTAAAACCTGGGTTGGACATAGATTATATCCAGGATTATTTGCTGCTATATTAAAAGGACTGTTGAAGGGCTTTGGAAGGCTTAGATGATCAGAAAGATGCTCAATACAAAGAAAAATATTAATGCTATTTTCTTTTTTTTATAATCTCTTTATTTTTGGCAGTTACATCCACTTAACATCTTTTACGTGTTTTTTTTTTTTTACTATCCAACCAGTAAGATGCAGCGTACCTTTTCTGAGCACATGAAGATATTCAGTCATCTGGATGCATACAATTCCTAACAGATTATTGTAGTCACTGATTAGCAAAACTTTGGCCCTTTTACATTTTCTGTGCAGAAAGTTGCAAATTTCACAAATAGCCAGCCCTGCTGCATTTGTAATTGATAAATTCCTATTAGACTGTGTCTTTATGTACTTTATTTTGGTTTATTTCATTCTCTTTACAAAACAAATTATAAAGAAATACATTAACTTTGTTTTGCATCCCTTTCAAGCTGTACATGATGTATTTACTTGTGAAAAGTGAATGCTCCACTATAGTCCATTTTAAGTTTTGGTCTGCAGTAATTTTAATGCATGAAACAGTGTAATATAGAATGTGGTAAGAAATGTGAAAGGGATCTGCAGAAGAGGCTATAGTTCTTGGTACAGGACACAAACAAGTAGGCATTTTGAATTGGGTTACATCATGAATTTATGAAAATCCTCTGCAGTAACAGTGTTATTTTCTGTGTTGAAACTCAGTTGAATGTAAGACTTTAATTTTACTTTGTTCTGCAGTGATAGATGATTTGCAAATGAAAAAATAAATACTAATTTCTCCAACTCCTGCCCCCATAAACATAGTGCCATTTTTAAGGGAAATTACTTTCACAGGCAGTGTTTGTAAAGGGAGATTGAGTGTCACTACCATGCCTTGATGCCATAACAATGAAGTTAGTGGGAGGTTTGTCCCTTGGTTCAGTGATACGGCATTGGATGGGTAAGTGGTAATAAAAGTGTTGCTCTTTATTTGGATCTTCTGTTTAAATCCTTGCTCTGAAAAGGATTTCAGGTTTTGCTCCGCTGTATTGGCATTTTCTTTCTGTTCAGTGACCCAAGAAGTTTTTTCTACTCTTGTTTATAAAAAGCTGAATTAGAGTCTTCTTGAGGAGATGAACAATGCTATTATTGTAGTTGCCATAGCCCATGTTAAACACAAGGAATGAAAGACTGTGGTGAATGTCAAATAAGGTTTTTTGGTGCAGAAGAGACCTTCAGCTTAGTGCTGTGTGGAGCTGGTATGACTAATACAAGGCAAGCTGCACAGAAGTGCTAGCCTGGGTCATCACCCTAGATGATTGGATCCAGTGCTGGATATATGATAGTAAGCTCTGCTTCTTGGGATATGCTATGTCATCACACTGGCTATACTGCTTCAGCTAGAAGAGACATAGTCAGACACAGCACAGGGCTCTGTGCACTGTACTTCATTGTGATCTCCACATATAACCTCAAGGAAACAATAGATCAAACTTTACTGAGAAAACATTTTTCTTTCAATTTTTAATGTAGTATGTATTAATACATTATTTAATGTATTATGTGCATCATTTGTATTACAGTATTGTATTATTAATATATTATTTAATGTATTATTACTTACTATTGGGCTAATCTTCAACCAGAGCATATGTCAGAGGGATCTTTTTATATCCCCCTGGCTGGTGCTCAGCACAATGTATTATATGAGCAATTTAATTTTAAATCTCATTCCCATCTTTGTCTGAGAGACTTTCCTCTCCTTTCAGACTTCTGCTTCAGCTAGTAGTTGACTCTGCAGACTGAGTGTTGGCAATGATCGTTAATAGAAAGCTAGTAAATGAGACAGGAAGTGAGCTTGGAGGCTCCCTAAACTCTGTCCTTGCATGACACTGCTGGTCAGACCACTCAGAATGTGAGTATCCTCTGCTGTCATCTGGCACACACGAGTGCTGCCTGTCACTCAGATTGTCACAGCCTGAGAAGAGATGTTTGATCCAGTTGTATCTCCCAAGGATTTCAGTGAAAGGAGCAAGTACAGCCATTTCTATTTATACTGTGATGATTATACTCTCTCTCTCTCAAAAAAAAAAAAAAAAGAGAAAAAAGCCACCAACAAAAGAACCCCCACAGCTGTGCTTTGTGGGAGGGAGCTTTGCATGGATTCACTGTGGGTTAAGTTGTAGCTTCACTTTCTACACTTTGCTGTCGGGCATAATCACGGATACCCTGCAGCTCCACTGTGAAGAAATTACTTAAGTCGAAGGTAATGCCAGTCCCTCCTTACAGATTCTTGTTTCTCCTCTGCAAGACACTTGTTTCACTTTCTGACAGAAAACTGGTTGGTTTGGCTAAGAGGATTTACATTAGTGAATGTGATCTCTTTGTGTTGCCTGCATATTGGGTGGTGTCCTGACACCTCAGTTAGCAGTGTTTCTGGAGCTGTTGAACGTAGTCTAGGAGTCAGTACAGGCTCCCTCATCTGAGACACGAGCAGTGTTTACGTGCAGTCCTGTGTGCACAGGTCTGGAGAGGAGTCAAGCATAGCTGTGAGGCGTTATGATGCTTGCAAGCCAAAAGGGAACATCTTTGTGAATTTAATGGAATATCTTTGTGACCCAGTCATTTGGCTGTGACAGTGGCCATGGGGAAAACAAATGCATGTATTTTATTTCTTTCCTGACAACACTCCCCGAAGTGCTGTTGTGAGTTGGTACCACTGAATATGCATTTCCCTGCACTTTTAGTGGCACAATAAATGACACTAGCCTGTTTTGCTGCGGGTTTGTTGTTCTTGAAACGTGATGCTGCTGACTCTGTTTAACCGTTTATTTCTGCTACACTGGGTAGTTAATCATCATACATCACAATTACACAAATCTTTTAATGCTCCTACTGATAACCTCTTAGTCTCTGTTAATGAGAGTTTCTTGCAAGGGGAGATGCCTGAATCTCATGACAACACTATTAAATAAATGAAAATCATATATGCTTGACTCCATTCAGTGAAAAGCATTTTTCTCTCAAATGTTCCACCGAGGATAGGTCAAGGGCTTTCATCTGCCTTATTCATTCTTAATTTTCTTAGTGCAGTGGTATTAGCATCTTTGCAGCAAAGTAGTAGGATATGGTGAATTTAGTAATAAATTGCACCTATATAAGGAAGAATTTGGAGGGTTTTGTAAAGAAACAACTGACCATTTTATTTCACCTTTAATGATTTATCCCCTAAATTATACATCTTCAGACCCAAGTATTAAATTTTGCTGTTGGCACTGGTAGAAGAGGGGGATTCCCGGAATCTTGTCTGGTTTGTACTGAATTTGTAGTTCAAGTCTGTGGCCTTGCGAGAATGGCACAGAACTTTGGTCGTTGCCTCTGCTGCATTTCAAAGGATCAAAAGGTTCAAACTTTCCAAAACCTGCTTTTGTCTTAGGCTTCAGGTGGCCTAAAGTAACATGTTTTCACATTTGGATAGCTGACATCTGCATTGCAGAGTTTTAGACAGACAGCCCCTCGTTTTGGTGGTTATGGGTACTTCAGGAAGGGTGAAATTAGTCAGAGGATTATTGCATTTTTTTTTTTTTCAGAGTTAGAGGTCTTAGAATGGAAACTTTTTTCTGGAGGTAAACATAGCACAGGTATTTTACTCAGCTGGTTTTCTTGTGATAAGGAATGTAAAAATTAAGAGTAGCATGTAGATTTAAGCACCAGAGCTTGAGTTCCATGGTCATGTCTGGTGAGCTTTAAAGTGACCTGTCCAACTGCAGCATGTTATGCACAGCCCGGGAGAAAGTATAATATTTCAGTGCACTGTCAAGTCCAAAATATTGAGGTGGGGAGGGGTAAGAAATAATAATTCTTATAATTTTTGCTAGTTTGAGAACTTTATGAAAATAATGTTTGAAGTGGAACAAGTTACTTTGCACAAGCGTAAAATTTTCAAGCCATTTCCACAAAAATATTCTGCAATGACTCTGCCACATTCATTAGTGTCTCTCAAGACTAGCTTTCCCTGTTACGAGGTTACTGCAAATCAGCCGATTCCCCAGTTGGTACTAGAAACTAAAATATCCTTCCAGAGTTCAGACCTGCTGCTTGCATTGCTCCATCCATTGTGATCTCTCTGCTCACCTGAGAGAAGCAGAGAGGCTTGGGAGCAGAGCCGTCTCACTGAAATGAATACTACTGAACAACAGTAGAAAGCTTCAAGGGCACAATTCTTTGTTTCCTTAAAGTAGAATAGAAACTGCCACTACTGTTTTCATGCTGTCTTCAGCTTCTTTACTTCCATTTCCAGGGAGGAAGTGGCAGCCCACATATAATTGTTAACTGGCCAGTCCTATTAATTTGTGCAAAGAAGTACTGGTTTTCAGATAATGTTGGAATCAGCCAAACCAAACTGGTCTCATTATCAATTAGAAGGTGAGTTACAGGGTTGATCAAATCTACTTGAAGCAGGAGGGAACAGTTCAAACTTCTCTCTGTGATTTGCACTTACATCCCAGGCTTCATGAACATCATTCTTTTAGATGGTTTTCGTATCCTCTCTGCCACCTTGCTTTCTTGCCTTTGGCTTAGTACAGCCATGTTATTACAGTGATTTATTTCTAGAGGGGAAGCCAGGGAATTTCTGCCTGTGTTGG